TGAAAATGTCTATGTTTTTTCAAAATCTTTAAATCAACCAAAATATAAATTTTTAGAAAATGTTTTACAACCAATAGATGGTATAAAATATTTTCCATTTAATGAGCATGCAAATGTAGTTTCTCCAAATGATGCACGACCTAACTCAATATTTATATTTGATGATGTCGCGTGCTAGAAACAAGATAACATTAAAGCGTTCTTTGCTATGAATAGACACAAGGCCGTCGATTGTTTTTACTTATGTCAGACATATGCTCGTATTCCAAAACATTTGATACGAGACAATGTAAATTTATTAATTCTTTTTAGGCAAGATGAAATGAATCTCAAGCATTTATATGACGATCATGTTAACACAGATATGACATTCACAAAATTTAAAGAAATTTGTAATTCTTGTTGGAAAAATAAGCACGACTTTCTAGTAATTGATAAAGATTCTAAAATTAATAATGGTAGATATAGAAAATGCTTTAATTGCTTCATAAAATTAGAAGACTAATATAATTAAATGACAGTATGTTTTTATACATTAATTGAACAACATGCCTTCTTCACAAGTTGAAAATATGCGAAAACAAAAAAACATTCTTGGTGAAATAGCTAAAGCAAGTCAAGCAATTCGATGGAAACATAGATTAATGAAGTTGGGCAAGGAACAAATTGAACAGTCGTTAAATGACACATTTAAACCAATAGTGACACCATTTAAGAAATTGACAGATGAAATTGAAATTGTAAAAAGTATTCAACCTACTAAAATGCAAATAAAAAATGAACAAGAATTGAAAGAAGAAATTCTGGATTCCATCGACAATATTTATACAAATTCACAAATAAAAGAAGAAGAAGATGAAATGTCATTTAAAACTGCATCATTTGATGATAGTTTTATTAAAAGTAAAGATTCAGAAATTCATCATTCATCTTATACTTTAGAAAAAACACTTGTAAACGATTATTTACAATTATTGGACAAAAAGAAAAAAGAATTAGACAATGTATATGGTGTTCGAAAATTAAATAAAGGATTAATGATTGGTGATTCACCAATAAATTTTGAAGACAATATTATTTTAAGTTTACATCGCAAGGAGATTTTAACATGGAAAATAAAAAACTTTGCAATTTATCTGATGCTCAGGACGAAAAAGATGCAGTCAATTTAAATCTCGTCAATAAAATTGTAAAAACCGAAGTAAACGCCATCTATGATGTAATAAAATCTTTGAAATCCGATGTAATTAAAAATAATATAAAGCTTACAACATTACAAGATACTATAAAACAATTTATTGAGAATGTGAAAAAGTAATATAGAAGTGTTATCAATAAAAAAAATTATTATCAAGGAAAAGAATTTTATAATTTAAATTTTAAAAATCTTATTTCAAAATATAATATTAATTTGTATTCAACGTTTAGTAATTTAAAAGCATCTATTTGTGAAAGATTTAATCGCACTTTAAAAAACAAAATGTGGATGAAATTTAGTTTACGTGGTAGTTATAAGTGGATAGACATTTTAAATGACTTAATATTTTCGTATAATAGCACCAAGCACCAAACTATTAAAATGAAACCTAAGGATGTAAATAATAAAATTGAAAGACATTTATTGTTGAATATATTTAAGAAAAATTATATTGTTAATAGACAATTGAAAAGATTTCAAGTTGGTGATAAAGTACGTATAAGTAAATTTAAACATGTATTTGAAAAAGGTTATATTCCAAATTGGACTACAGAAATATTTACTATAAGCCATGTAAAAAATACAAATCCAGTAACATATCTTTTGAAAGATTTTCAGGAAAATCCAATTAGTGGATGTTTCTACGAGCAAGAACTTTCTAAAGTTAAAAATCCTGATATATATTTAATTGAAAAAATAATTAAAAGGCGAGGTAATAAAATTTTTGTAAAATGGTTAGGTTTTGACAGGACACATAACACATGGATAAATCAATCTGAATTGTAATAATTTTTTATTTGCAATAAAACATTTATTTATTCAAAACATGTGTTTATATTACACTAATCCCAATATCATTAAGTTTAGGAATAATTTCACATAATTTTTTAGATAAATTTTTTAAATTAAAATTAATAATATCAACAAGTAATGTCTTATATTCAAAACTTGAAGAAAATTTTTTTTTGTTTTTTTTCAATTTTAATTATTAATTTTTCACAATTGTTTTTAACAAAGTCTTCAATTTCTTTTTCATTAAATTGATTTGCTTTCCATAAAATTTCAGCAATAGATTTTACAATTGAATTAAACACTTTCTTTAAATGTATTGAAGATAAGTATTCAAATTGCTGATCCACACATGAAATGAGATTCTCCAAAATATAAAATGATGATTCTTTTATAATGAATGGAGAAGACAGTTTCTTCTCAATCCTTCTATCTACAAGTGTCACAGTATTCTCTCCCAAAAAAATTCTAAAACATATTTCAAAATTTCCACATTCAATAACGTTCATTGGTGATTTAGTTCGATTAAAGTAATTTGAAATAGTTTCTAGATAAGTTTTAAAAATGATCCAATCTTGCAAGTCTAATGAAATTTTACATCGTGGATGGCTTGAAACAAATTTCAAAACACTGCACAATTCTCCATCACTTTTCAATTCTAGCCCTATTGTAATTTGCTTTGTAAACGAAGAATTTAAATTGAATGTACTTGCAAGGATCAGTTGATTTCTTGGCAAATAAGAATTTTTTTTCTTTTTCTTACAATTGAATAAATTCTATGTAATTGTATGTTCCTTCAAGATACTTTAATCCCAATTGATTTTTTGTAATTAAATCTTTTAACCCTTTAATAAACTGTTAATAAACTTTCATGTTCGTTAATAGTGTCAAAAATTCTTTTTGGTAAAAACACTGAAAATTGATTGTCAATTTCAGCTACGATTCGACAACCAAATCTAGTTTTCACTTGATTTATATTTGAAACAACGTATATTTCATTTACACTGAGTTCACTTAATTTTTTATTCGGAAGAAAATTTTTTCCTTGGCCAGCTTTGTTTAATTTTTCAAAATTCATGGTTTATTTAATATTTAATTTTTAAAACTTTTTTGATAAATCTTTGCAATTATCAAAAGAAGAATTGCTCTCTTCTTTAATACTTAATTTTTTAAATCTTTTTGTTAAATCTTGGTAATTTTTAAAAATTTTGAACGATTGATTTAAAGTTCGTTCAAAATTAGAATTTTTTCTCTCAATCCGATCACACACGGAGAGAAATCTGCTGCTAATATTACTCGAAAGAGCACATTACTTAAATTGCTTAACGTTTCTCTTATATTTTTAGCATGGATTCATATACTTATTGTAAAAATACTTTCAATGCAATAAGCATAAGAGACAGTAGCTAATTTTGCACGAAATCTTTATTATAAATACAAAGAGAACGTGCTATAAAAGTATTAGATTCTTCTTATAAGAATCGCTCGAACTCCGACTGATTTTCAGGCGGACTTTATACAACACAATCTTACTTGTGTATACGCACATATAACTTACACACACATATATTTCTCTGGACAGTTTTGTCGTCCTGTAAAACATTATATATTATATGTAGTATTTAATACTTGTTGCTGTTATAAAAAGATAATATTTATTTAATAGTAAGTATATTATTTAAAAATTATTGCATTTTTATTCGTGTTTGAATATATAAGCAACATGTGAAAATTGTTAGGTTATGTTATTGAAAACGTCACCGCTTTGTACGCGTTCCGTTCCTCGAAACCATCCAGAGAAATATATGTGTGTGTGTGAGTTATATGTGCGTACACGCAAGTAAGATTGTGTTGTATAAAGTCCGCCTGAAAATCAGTCGGAGTTCGAGCGATTTTTATAAGAAGAATCTAATACTTTTATAGCACGTTCTCTTTATATTTATAATAAAGATTTCGTGCAAAATTAGCAGCTGCTTTTTGTTTTTATTGCATCGAACTCTCCATTACATTAAATAGATGATTTCGTATATAAATTATTATAACCTCAAGCTAAATTTCTATTCACCAGTGACTAATAAAATTTGTAAAGATTCTACAAGCAATAATAGCAACAGATTTCTCTCCGTGCACATTTAATATTGTTTACTTTGAGGGTTTGATACTGACTGATGAACAACATTAAATTTGCCATCCTTTTTATACCCAACAACTAACTAATAAACATTCCTTTCAACAATAACATTTTTGATAATCAAAATAATATAATAGACATTTAAATTCCACTAGTGATAATCAAATTCTTAACAAGTATTAACTTGCACAAATTGTTTTAAAATTCCTATGTTATCTATTTATAAATAACGTTTCAAAACACCTATTATATTATTATTTATAACATTTATTTATTTATCATGCAATCTGTCGAATTATAACAAAGGATGTTTTGTCTTGATTTTAACTGCACTCTAAAAGTACGCAAAATTCTTAAGATAATAATAATAATAAATTCTTAAGATAATAATAATACATTTTAAAAATGTAAACAAATGCACATTATTATTATTTATCATTGAAAAAAATGAACTTTAAAATTCCTTTCTTATTACAGACAAATTGAATTACTCATCACAAATATACAGGGAGTGTTCTAGATATTGCAGAAATCAAGGTCATATCCAGAACGCTCCCTGTATATCTACTCTTATGAAAAAATCTAAAGAAGCCATTTTCGAAAATAATTTTTTATCGCTTTGTTTAAATACAATAAATAAACGAAGTAGTGTATGTCTGAACAAAACTCAAAACTTTTACCTCCTCTTCTGATAATTATAAAAATTCAAAAGTATTTGTCAGATAAATTACTAACTTATAGAACAACTCATAAAGGAATTGGGGATTAATCAATCAACATTTTTATTTTGGGTGGACATTTGACGTGCAATCCGTCATATACATTTGTAATAATACTGAGAAGTTTCAATAATAAATTACTCCTACATTTTGTTCAATTCAGGAGGCTCAGCAGGTTCAGTAGTGGCATCAAGATTAAGTGAGATTCCAGAGTGGAAAGTTCTTCTCCTTGAAGCTGGTCCTGATGAACCACCCGGCACTAGCATACCAAGTATGGTTGGAATGTTTCTGGGTAAGATTAAATTTTTCTTTGGGTAATATGAATGTATTTGTGTTTAGTTTTTACATTTTGAATAGGAAGTGATATTGACTGGCAATACAATACAACGAATGAAAAATTTGCGTGTTTGTCTACCGATGGATCGTGCAGCTGGCCAAGAGGTAAAAATCTTGGTGGAACTTCTTCTCATAATGGAATGATGTATATTCGAGGTCATCCGCAAGATTTTAACAACTGGGAAACGCTTGGAAATAAAGGGTGGTCGTGGAAAGAGGTACCCTACATATTTACCCGGCGAGAGTAAGGCTGGGTGGCATCCACCCAGTGTAATTTTGATTTTTCGTTAATTATATAATATATATATATATATGTCATGTTAATATAATATATAATGCCAAAATGTGGTGTACGCGGACTATAAAACCAACGATGAATGACAAAAATGGTTTTCATTTAAATATATAGTAAAAAACCATAAATTACTATTCAGGTAATTTACCATAAATATTGGAACTGATAAATAATGCTTTTTTCTAAAGTTTAATGATATGATTTTTTATAAGCCAATAAATTCGCTCGCCGGCTGGAGTGCGAGTTCTTAATTAAATTAGTTAATATTTTAATATGGCGTAAGGCTCCATCTAATTACCAAGATTTTATTCAAATATGTGTTTGCTATGATTTAGACGAGAGCCAGGTGTAGTCATTAACACTTTTCACAGAAATATATATATCTAACAAAATATTAATAAAATAAAAGATAATAAAATGTATAAAAATAATAATACCAATAAAAAGACTAGCCTAGATTTACTTATGAGCATAAAACTAAATGAATTAAAAATCATAAAATATCAGATTGCCTGATAACTCTACGTGACGAACGTGACTAGTACGTACACTCTGAAAAGGATGTCTGATTAGTAGACCGCGATTTTTAACCCAGGGGTAACATTGAGAATTCATAGAGACAGGTATTCTCTCGCAAGGGCTCCTACAGAGAAGTTGCAAAGACCAGAATGGGGAAGAGAAGGCGTTCACCTTAGTGCAGAGCACCATTACGTTCATTAAGATGCGCTTTGAGTAAAAGAATCGAATTTAGGAGAGTTCCAAGTAGAGCTACCCAGTGAGAAATAAAAGGTCTAACCGACGTCTAAGAAGTTGAGAGGAGATCTAGGTCTAGATTCGTTCTAGAAATATTAAATGTACATGTTAAAATTGTTTGATTTCAAAGACATTTGTATTTGACATTCAGTCGCTTAGTGTAATTTTACACACATTTTATATAAAATTTAATATTTTATAAATTTCGCTATATTGACGTACTCGGTATATTGACACTGTTGAGAAGCAAGTAAATGCATCTACGATATTGTGTTTAATGGTAACTTTACGAATGTCAAATTTTTTCAGGACATTATCTAACAGACGTATTTGCAATTACTTAGATATCGAATAGATTGTCTAAATCGTCCATTGTACCTCTCATTTCTTCATGGTTCACACCAACAAGAATTAATTTCTCTATTCGAAGTCCTAGACAGCTATTAGACATCTACTTAGCATCTAAAATGTCGAATAGACTTTTGCGAATGAGCAGCCGAACCTGCGCGGTAGACGTCTAATATACAACAATTTTGACGTCCATAGATATCTTGTGGCGTTCCATTTTGACGTCTATATAGATCTCGATTTAGATTCCACATACACTACCGTCGGGAATTATCGGTACGGCTGCACGCGCACGGCCCAAAAACATACCAATCTTTAAATCACGATTTTTTTGTAAATACAAATGTCAGAAAATTAACAAATATACCATTCGAAAGATTATTAAATTCTGCGATTAATGATACATAGCTGAAAATTTTAATAATTTATACCAAATTAGCAGCAATCGGCAAATTTGACAAAAAAAATTAAATAATAAAATTTTTTTGAAAATCTTTTGAACCCCTGCACATTTTTTAAAAATTGTAGAAAAAATTTGAAACTTATATAGGTGTAATCATTCAAGTCTCATCTTTAATTTAAGACCAAAAAAGTTAAGAAATCTTATTCGGTTATCGAGATATCATTATAAACGGCCGAGCATTTTCAGCAAAAACCGTTCAAAATCGACTAACTCAATGCATTTGTCAAAAAACATGCTCCGACGTTTATAATGATATCTCACGAACCGAATAAGATTTTTAAACTCTTTTGGTCTTAAATTAAAGATGCGACTTGAATGATTACACCTATATAAGTTTCAAATTTTTTTTACAATTTTTAAAAAATGTGCAGATTGCTGCAATTTTTGTATAAATTATTAAAATTTTCAGTTATCTATCATTAATCGCAGAATTTTATAATCTTTCGAATGGTATCTTTGTTAATTTTCTGACATTTGCATTTACAAAGAAATCGAGATTTAAAGATTGGCATGTTTTAAGGCCGTGCGTGTGCAGCCGTACCGATAATTCCCGACGGTAGTGTAGATAGATGTTTTAGACGTTGTATAGATCTTTCATTTCTGACTGGATATGGTATAACCTAGCTTGGCTCCTTCATTTGTTAATTTATCTTTGATTATTATAATTTCATTAGTTTTACAATCATTTTTAGTTTATATTCCTCTTAAATATAGGCTACGATTTTACAGGACCACAAAAAAAATGGAAATTTTTCCACGTCAAACGGTATATGATTTTCTGAAGTATTTTGATGCATTGAATACGAATCTAAAGTCCGATTTTCTCTATGTGGTCAGGATTTTTTCTAACTTAAAATAACATGTATAATCAAACACGTAACTCTAAAATCTTAAGGGCTTTGCTTCTGCTGGTTTTTGGCGTCGCTAATTACGTAGCCGATGTCACTTTTATGAAAATTAAAAATAGATGGATGCAATATGGAGGAAAATTTTTTAAAAATTATTAAATTTTCATGAGAATCTGTACATCTAGTGGTTTTCGGTGTCGCTGATTATAAATCCGATGCCAGACATAAAAAATCTAAAATGAAGACTGAAATATGCAACATTAATTTATAATAAAAGATGAAAAAATTGTAAACAAAAATTTTTTACGAAGACTAGCTTTACTGAATTTTTTTTCTAAACAAGATTCATTCGTTTTTTATAAAGTGTAGATGGAGTCGAATTTGGAATATTTCACTAGAGAGAAATCACGTCTGTGAAGAGTCAGTACGCTCGCTGACCCTCTTATCCAATTAGAAATATACCGAAATAATTAAAAGTCTCTGTGGAGTCGATTCTTAACCCAAGAAGTTCCTGAGGCGAAAAAACAATTTCTCAGCATCGCTTCAAGTGAAAGAATAGCTCCTCATTTCACTTGGGGAGGTAAAGGGGAAGAGAGTGAGTGCTAGTCTTCCCTGAGAGCACCCACGGATCAACCGATGCATTGGTACAGAGACTCGTTAGCACCCGTAGTACGTAGTACATCTCCTTCTGGGAACACAAGAGCTAATGAACGGAATAGCACCTCTCGTTCTCTCTGTCAGGCTAAGAAAGGATATTTTTCGGTCAGGAATAGCACCTCACCAACTTGTGTGAACTGAGTAAATTCTAAGTGCAAGCAAGGTATATGTATAGAAGTCTGGTCGCTATCGAAGTTAGTCGCGCGGTGGGGGCTGTGACGGAGGCGTGACGCGGCAGTGTATGCGCGGTGGCTATTATCTACGCGACTAACAGGCTTAACGCACTATAGTATATATATAGATATACTTTCTGTACGAAATGTAATTTCTCACGTCAGATTTTAAAGGCTGTCGTTGCAAACTTAATAATTAATTTTGTAGTACACTGGAAGCCCGATCAGCGGTTGGCTCCGGGGGTGCTCTACCGCTATTCGAGCGTATACATATAGGACCGTACGAACTGTTTAATGATGGGGTAGGGAAGTGTATGGTATGGTGGCGGACACTTTGTTTTTTGCGTCTCTCTCTCTCAAAAAACAATATTTTTCAAAATTTCAAAAGGAGGCAGTTGCTGACATCTATTAAGCATATTTCTGTCAGAAGCGGTTGTTTAAATTTAAATGCAGTGAAATTTGACAGCTCTTGGCGCAAAACACTGATTTTTTTATTTTTGAAAGTTGTAAGGTATGGTGGCGGATTTGGTGTATTCAACTAAAACATTATGTAGATGTTAAAATCATTTATTAAAACTGCCAGAAATGATAAAAAATAAGAAAAAGAGAAAAAACTGATGATTTTACATTATAGAAAAAAAAGTTTCACTTCAGTTATGGTTACAATGTGGACATGTAAAGTAGCTGGTGACTGTTTTAACGCAACTAGAATAAGAGAGGACCGCAAGTGTCGCATATTCGAGAATTGTTGCGGTGGAGCACAAGAAGCCTTAGTACACAAAAAATGCAAAGACAATTGAAACTCGTGCAAAAAAATGATCCGCCACTGTACGTTACAAAAATAACGCCATCATACCTTACAAGCTATTGATGAAAATATGATGGTGTTACTATCATACAGAGCTAATTGAGAAAAATGTAAAATACAAAAAACTGTTGTCCAAGGTCTAAACAATACGTTCCATACATTTACCTGACTCAATTTCCAAAAAATCTTCACTCTGGCACTATTAACACATATATCCAATAAAACTTTTTATTTTTTTTACTACATTTTTATTCAAAATCACTTAGAGTACAAAGCACGCGTTTGCTCATTAATACTACTGCATATAAAATGTCATTACAATAAAAGACATCGATCATAGTGATAAGGCGTTCAGATGTGACGTTACATGCCAGATTTGAGAAGTCCACCACCATACTTTACACGCCACGATACCTTACATTCCCCTACCATTATTTTACTACTGAATTTTTTTAAGGGTCCAGAGCGTCTTTAATGTATACGGTACTGCCACAACTTTACGACTCCCTCTTTGACCCTCGCCCGCCCCATCTGCAAACGACGTAATCAAGCTACCGCTGATCGGGCTTTCAGTGTATAATTTTGGAAGTTTGTCGAATCATCAACCGGTAGCTTAAAAACTCTTTCAGTTAAAAATTTATCTTTCATATTGCATCCGCCATTTTTAATTTTCAAAATCTAATAACGGATTCGCAATCAGCGATCCCAAAAACCCAAGCACTTTACACCATATTTAAATAGTTATTAATTTAATTGAGAACACGGACTGGAAAAAAAAGCTTATTATAATAAAATACAAATTTTTATAATTTCATTTCTATTCGTGATCTTGACACCTTTAAAATTATTTCTGCAATGTATTATAATTCTCTA